GTGCGTTTTATTTCCAACCGAGGGGAAAACTAGGTTCTATCTCCGTTCTTGCGTAAATAACTGTACTTATGAAACCTAGCAATACGATAACTAGGAGGAGGAGTAGCCTATGCCTAGAAACTCACTTTATTATCTCGATTATGCAATAGCCCGGTTCAGAGAGACAAGCCGCCTATTTAAAGAAAGACCTATACCATATGGTTCTATATCCCCGCCTAGTTCTTTATTTTTCAATACATACGGTCATTCCAAGAGTAATATGGCATTCAACACAACGTTGGTATGTCGCTCTATTAAGATAAGAGGCCGCCCATCCTAAGAGAGGGACTGGGTGGGCTTTCCGGCGGGTAGAAATCGCTTTTAGGTTTATAATAAATAAGCGCGCCAGTATCGTTGTATTCGAATTCCTTCTATGGTAGGTAAGAAGAAGGAAGGACAGACACTTTTCTAAGGAGAAAGAAATGGAAGTTTACTCGAACGTTAGGAACTCCGAAGACTAGACCTACTGTACAAATAGGAAGGTAATACTGAAATCAAATTATGGTTTATTTTCTATTTCTCAGGTATAAACGTAGTAAGAGAAGAAGAGCGAAATAATAAGCCACTGCATCAGCACTAGGGAGGGCTGGTCTGGAATGACATAGCATAGATCAAAACATTGACTTGAACTTTCCCTTTACTTTATAGGTTGACCGGGATGACCCAGGAGCTTTTTATCCATCCACTTGATTCAGTAATTTCATTCTATCTCGACTCCAGGCAAGACAAAGCACTTCCAAACCCTAATATTCTCTGAAGAGCTGGTACTATGCGACTGTCCTGGCTTAGTTTTCCCTTCATTTTATAGCTCGCTCGAGACATGAAATGGTAGCATGTGGTGTTCTACCAATCGACCGCATGACTCAGCACAGGGAGGCAGTACAGGTCGTAGCAAACAGGGTTGGGCGCAGCCAACTGCAACGCTTCGAGCTCCTGGAGACGTTATGTCGTGCCCAAGTTACGGAGAAAGAGTCGAGATGCAACCCGGTACGATGTCAAGGAGTGGTGCGAAAGAGAACCAAAAAGTTCAACTGGTCTTTTGCAAATGGTTTGATTTCTCTTGTCCTAGCATCGCGCGGGTATCTTACTTGTAAGAAGGAGTAGACTAATCCACTCACAGGTGGTTAAGCTCTTTCTTAGCGTTTGTTCGCTATACAAACTATACAAGCTCTTATTGGTGTGGCCGAACCCAATAGACTTAATTAGTCCTTCTACCTGTCCGAAGCGCCTCTATCATTTGGCCGAGAAAGGCGTCGGCATAATAAGATAGGATAGAAGATAGAAGGGCCCCCAGCTATGTGCCATTGTAAAAATGGTTTTCTATCACCTTGACCTAAAGAAAAAAGTTTTCTTCTATGGCTCCTAACCCTTCTTAACTCGCTACTTTTTTTCCGCTCGTTCCCTATCTATGGTCGAGCACTTCGTTCATGAGTTGCTATCACTTTAGCTGTAATAACTAGAACTTCTGCTATCTTCTCAAGCAAGTTCAAATTGCTTTCCTTAGGACGAGCTTTTAAGGCAAAGTAGAAAGAGCTTATTTATTCGTCGATAAAAAGCCTTTACTTAAAACTAAAAAGGAATAGAACCGAAAGCTCTTTTCCAATATAAAGAGGCATGTCAACAAGCACCTGACAGACGCTCATCTACTTCCATTTCCTATTTTTTATCAATATCCTTCCCGTCGTATTCTTTCCTTCGCTTTTGGGTCGCAGCCTAAGCCAATGGCTAGCTAGTGAAGTGAATCCTTCATTCGCCGACTAGAGAGCATGCCACTATGCTTGCCACATGAAATTTCTTTCTTTGGCACTGCAGCTGCACTTTAATTAGTCACCTTGGGCCAGGCCCACTTATACCCTGCCACAAGAAATCACCTAAAATAGGCCCATGTCAGTACTACACAGCTTTGGTTATTCAAATGGTTAGCGAAAAATTCTCTTTATTTCATTTTCTTTCGGTCTCGGCACCAACAGAAAATGAGAAACGAATCAAAGAAACTGAAAAGGCCACTCAAGCGAAATATGGAAAGGAATTTAAAACATCATGTGCTGGTACGAAGGAAAGAAAGCACATAGCTTGACAAGCGAGCATCCCTTTGATGGATGCATGAAGGCCTAGCTCTTTACTTTAAGAAAGACTACTTGAAAGCAGCCTTCTCCAATTTGGCCTCACTCTTTCGATGTGCTAATTCCAATTCCTCAGCTGGAAACAGATTCTACCAAGCTAGGGAGGGCTTGCTTCCATTTGGATTTCGTAGTCGTAGAATGCCTTTATCTTGATCCATATCTGGATCATTAAGATGAAAGTAAGGACTTCCTTGATAAAGTATATCTTCGTTCCATTGGAATGATCTTTTTTTGATTTTCAGGTGCTCCCCCTCCCAATCAACTTCCAGCCCGACTCCAGAGGAACAAATCCTGGACCCAGCCGAGAATGCTCCAGATTGGCCAGCCGAAATTTCCCCTGCGAGTTCCTTTTTATTTGATCTCTCTCCTCGTCAAATACACTCTCTCTCTGAAGGCTAAATCCCCTCGTATCTCATATCCAGCTCATAGGTCTCCTTAATGGGACTGATCTTGACTACTGGAGGTCTCTGTGATGAAGCTTCCTTCACTAACTCAGGACTTGTTTTCTTCTGCTGCTTTTTATCCTTCTCCATATCCGTTGGGATGCCATCACCTTTCTTCATCATTCATCATCAGTGTTTGCTGTGACTGGTCCTGTTCCTTCTCTATTTTTTCTGAAATCAGGGTAGGATTTCCTACATTTACATTTTGATCTACGTTGATGATATTATCGTTACTGGTAATTCATCTTCTGCAATGAAACACCTCTGACATACTTTACATCAGCAATTCTCCATTAAAGATCTTGGTCAACTTCACTTCTGGGTATTGAGGTCACCTCTACTAGTTCAGGTATCCTTCTTACTCAACAGTACTTGAGAAATCTACTTAAGAAGGCAAACATGCTCACAGCCAAACCTATGAACACTCCACTTAAAACAAATCTTCAGTTATCCAGGATTCCCTTAATAAATCCTTCCTTATATCGAAGCA